CAAAAAAACAAAAAAACAAAAAACCAAAACTGTTCCAGCATTCTCCGTGGAGCTTTGGTTTTTTGGTTTTTTGGTTTCGGTCGTCGGGTGGTTCTTCACAGACACGTTCGGAGGGCTCAAACTCGATACCCCGGAAAAAGCACGAACACGCCGCTGGGAGCGATGTTTTGAAGGGGATGGTCTGTAATGGAGGGGGCGTGATTATATATATGTATATATATATAGAGATAGATAGAAAGATAGACAAGGCGTATATCCTTTAAGTACATCTTATGAGCAATGCGCACAGATGTTGGTGCATTGGCAAATGCACATGTGCATGCAAATGTGTGTGCAAGCATGTGTGCATATGCGCATGCATTCATGCGTGCATGCATGCATGCAGGCACGCATGCTTGCTTGCTTGCTTTGGTATGTGTTCACCAACACAGCATATATCTGTCTACTGTCTACGTATGAGCCTATCTGTGTATCTATGTCTATGTCCATGCGGCCATGCGTATTGTGCGCCATTTGTTGGAGACTGCCCTGTACCGTTGTTTCTTTGGGATGCCCCCTCCCTTTGCGCACGTGACATAGGGCTGCAACAACTAGGCAGGTGTGTCTATTGCAGCTTGTTGTTCGTCACCAAGGCATGCGTCGGAGACATGGACCGTCATGTGTGCTCAGCAACCCTGCATACCCGAGCTACTTATTTGCGTGCGACAGAGATTTGAAAGATTCTTGCAGGCCAAGTGTGCCGCCAGTGCATGTTCCACGGGCGGCAGCGTCTTTGCCCGGCGCTTGATGTCCTGGCAAGTGCCCATTATAAAGACAAGTGTGCTGCTGTGCGCTCTCTTGCATTGAGATAAACCACTGTGTTATTCTCCTTCCATGGGAAAAACTATCTCATCGTTTTGTAGCTGCTAATTTCATGCTAGGCCTCGTGGTCGCAGAGAGATGAAGAGAGGCCGACTGTGCAGAAGTCAATGGATCCTCAAGCCTACCGTAAATGCCACGACTGCCCTTCAGAAGCTTGACAATCAGAGTTGCATGAGCATGCAGTTGAGGCTAGAAGCATGGACGGGCTCCCTCAGCCACCGCAACCACCACCTCCTCCACCGCCTGGTGGTGGCTTACCTGCTGGGGACATCAAATACGGTTCGGGATCTGGAAGTAAGAGGTCTTGACCACGGCTGGGATGCTAGTAGCCCTGTCGGTACTAGAAAACAAGTACGAGTACAACAACAACTACTACCTCTACTACTACTCCTCCTCCTCCTCCTCCTACTACTACTACTACTACCACCACGATGACGACTACTGCTACGACGACGAATAATCTTACCAATGCAAACAGCAACATGAATCAAAAATAACCATAACCACATGAATGGTGACACACAGCACTGCCACCATGATCATTCTCGCCATCGACTTTGGCACCACTGCTGGCAGCAGCAGCAACCTCAGCACTGCCACTATCAGTGGAGGGTTCATAACCCATGAAACACGTTCGCATGCGTAGTTGCACGTGTAAATGCCTCTTTACCTCGAGATACATCCCTCCCTACATCCAGCCATCCGTCCATCCATGCTTCCCTCCGTCCGTACATACATTCATACATACATGCAGAGATAAATCAATCCATCCATCCAGCCATCCCTGCATGCATCCATGCATACTTTGCATGCACAACTGAATCTATCTATATATATATATACATATACATACATACATACATACATACATACATATATTCAAAGTCATACGTACATGTACTTGTGTTTAGATGTATACATGTACATGTACATATACAATATAAGATATATATATATACACATATATATACACATGTGTGTGTGTGTCTGTGTCTATGTGAATATACATATATATATGTGTGTGTATATGTATGCATGTATGTATGTATGTATGTATGTATGTATTCATACATTTTGTATGTATTGCTTTCTCTTACTATATCTGTAGGCCTGTAAATCTGCGTATCTATCTCACTATATACTTATAAAGTTCAATGCCTCTGTGTTTACATGTTTGTTGGTTTACATCTTTACATGTTAAGTTGCTTGTATATATTTACATATGTACATGCCAGTATATGCTTACATATCTTTTACCATGTATGTACTCATGTGTTTGCAAACGTGTTTGTTCGTACATGTGCTATCTTGCATGTTTGTATATTTGTACGTGTTTTTTACATTATATTGGTATCATGTAGTTATATGTTCAGTTTTGTGCACGCATGCGCACATACTTATGGTATTCGTTTACATACCCACATAGTCGTACATATTTATGTGTTTGGTTTTGTTGTGGATTACGTATTTGAATGAATATACATGTGTTTGTATGTTTTCGTTTGTATGTATGTATGTATGTATGTATGTATGTATGTATGTATATATATATATAGATATCGGCACATATTTGACACATATTTGACACGTATGTTTCAAACTGCATGGACATTTACTTATCCGCACATGCATGTACTTACATTCTGGAGATATATATATATATTATACACATATTCATAGATTCATGTATCTACTTTTTCGAAAGCCATGTGTTCATACATTTGTGTGTGTGTGTGTGTCAGTCTGTCGCTCTCTCTCTCTCTCTATATATATATATACACATATCTACACTCGTAAGTGCACATGTACATGCAATACCTGCTTTAAACATCCATGTACCCCGATATCCCTGTATGCGCCAGCAGTGGGCACGCACCTGCACAGGCACATTTATACAGATAGAAGCACAGCTACATCGCTGCTTGTCGGTTCTTCAGCTGAGGTGGCAAGGATGGCTTAGCTCCGGATGGCTTCGGCTCGGGCTTCCAGCCTCAGGGGAATGGAGGATTTGGTGGAGGGCCCGAAGGAGGGTTTGGCTACGGCTCCCAGGGCGGATTCCCACAAGCCTACCCGCCGGCCAACTACGTGCCTGGGGATATGTCGTATGGGGGAGGCTTTGGGGCACCCCCACCCCCACCGCAAGGAGCTGGCTATGGTGGCTATCCTGGGGGCTATGACATGTACCAGCAAGGCTTTCAGCAACCTCCCCCCGTTGCGAACTACGGTGGGAGCTTCAGCAGTTTCGATGCAGGTCGAGGTCGAGACCTCGATGGAAGAGACCGGGACAGCGGCCGCGACGGGGGCCGTGGCTATGATGGTGGCAGGAGTGACAGAGGAGCCGATCGAGGCTCCGACAGAGGTGACCGTGGAAGGAGAGATTATGATAGACCGGTTGGTGATAGAGGTGCCAGGGACTACGATCGAGGAGGCCGAGACTACGACCGAGGTGACAGAGGTGATCGAGGCCGTGGCTTCGACGACAGGGCAGCCGACAGAAGAGGAGACAGCGGGAAGGGCTACGACTTTGGGAAGGGTGGGTATGGTCAGGCTCTCAGCATCGCAGAGAGTGCTAATGAGCTAATGTCTCCTTAACACGTCATGTTGGCATCAGCCGCTGCAATCATCGAATATCCACGCATGTCACATTCTACTCGAGGCTCAGGCAGTCCCGGCCTTTAAACGTAAAGCCGCCCAGAAGGTTCTAGTCGCACGTGCTGAATTTATCTTGAACCTCTGGAATAGCGCGACTTTTCGGTAAACGTCACCGGAAACGCCTCGGCTTTAACCGAGGCCGTGGCATGCCGCTCCCCGAGCCCGTCGAGCTCCAGCTGAAGAACCTGCCTCTTGATGCCACGGCACCTTGACGTTAAGAATCAGAAAGACTCAAGATCAGAACCATACGGTTGATACTGACAGCAGTTAGCCACAGAAACGTAGTAGTAGTTCGAAAAAAGGGGCTGCTATGGGCACTTTGGGTGAAATGGAGGGCAGCATTTGGGGGGCCTAAAACTCTGAGTTTTGGGCCTCAGGAGCCGGCGCTCCGGAGCCTCTTCGGGCAAAAGGCCCGGGGTGAAATGTGCTCCCGTCTGGCTGTGTGCGAGCACTGTGGGTGTGCATGGCAACTGTGAAAAAAAAACTTGGCGGTCGTTAAGGCTCGAGGTGCGTGGGTCAGATTAATTTTGCCCAAGTTCCGGTGAGTTCCCTCGCCCTCGATGGCACCGGCGGATGCGATGCCAGTCCTTCCCGAGCACGACATCACCGTAGTGAACACCTTCGTGCAGGTTTCCGAGGCCCGCCCACGTCATCGGCTTCAGCGGTCTCAAACCGCACCCGTGACGGCAGCCGACGATGAGGCCGAGGAGCAGCCCGAGACAGAGGAGCAGACAGGTGAAGCACACTTTGTTTCAGAGGATGCTGAGCCGAAGGCAGA